ATATCATGTTGTGAATTTTTGATCATCTGCATCACTACACCAACTTGAATCAGCGTATCCAACTAACTTGAATTCTTTTCCTTTATCAGTTGCAAAAAAAAATACCATAGTCAAGAGTTCCTTTTAGATATCTCAATATCCTTTTTGTCGCTGCAAGGTGTGATACCTTTGGCTTCTGCATGAATCTACTTACCATACCTACAATGTATGTTAATTCAGACCTTGTATGACAAAGGTATCTCAATGACCCAATAAGTCTTTTGTATTGGTTTGGGTCGACATCATCTTATTTTGAATCTTTCGGTAGTTGCAACCATGGTTCAACAGGTGTCGATGTTGAGTTGCATTCTTTCATCTCAAATCTCTTGAGAATTTCTCCTGTATATCTTCTTTGATGCATCATCAAACCTTTACTACTCTTGTAGAATTTGATGCCAAGGAAATATGAAATGTCACTCAGATCATGCATTTTGAATTCCTTGTTGAGATCTCCTTTGAAGTCTTCGATCTCACTTTTGTAGCCACCTATTATCAACAAATCATCGATATAGGGACATAGTATAAGCAATTCAATATTACTTCTTCTTACATATACTCCATGTTCAGTTGTGCTCTTCACAAATTCTTTTTCCATTATAAAGATACCTATATTCTTATTTCAAGCTCTTGGTGCTTGTTTAAATCCATATAGGGCTTTATGAAACCTGTACACCTTTCTCTCTTTGCCATGCTTCACAAACCCAACTGGTTGTGCAACATAAACTTCTTTGTCTAAGGGTCCATTCAGGAATGCACACTTCACATCCATCTGACATATGTGTCAACTGTTCATTCCTACTAGACCAATAACCAACCTGATTGTTTGGATTCTAGCCACAAGTACAACGACTTCATCAAAGTCGACTCTTTCCTTCTGTAGAAATTCTTTCGTCACAAGTCTTGCTTTGTGTCAAGTTACCTCCCCTTTGGGATTCAAATTCACCTTTTATACCCACTTGACATCGATTGTCTTCTTGCCTTGAGGCAATTTGACAAGTGACCAAGTGTTGTTGTCTTTGATGGACTTCACTTCTTCATTCATTGCTTTCACCCACTTTGAATCTTTCAATGCTTCAATTGCATTGACAAGTTCGACATCTGCTTAGAAAGCATAATGTACGAGCTCACCTTCATTATCGACCACATCATCTGATGTAATAACATAATTTTTCAACCTTGCAGGCATATGTCTTGTTCTATAAGGCCTGCTTGGTCCTGGTTAATCTATAACTTTCTCTTGTCGAACTTCTCTTTCGACTTTAACTGTTTGTTCTTCGAATAAGATTCTTATTGAATCTTTATTGACATTTTTTTGTCCAATCCCATTCCTTAAGCTCATATATGATCACGTACCTGTTGATCACAATCTACTTGTTCAGTGGGTCGAACAACTTGTAACCTCGTGTCGAATGATATTCTACCAGGATCATCTGACTCATCTTATCATCAAGTTTTCTTCTCAACTGATCTGACACATGTCTATATGAAATAGATCCAAATACCTTCAGATGACTCAAGCTAGGCTTCACATTAGAATAATATTCTTCTGGTGTAATTCCTTCTAGCTTTTTCATTGGACATCTGTTCAAAATGTATGTTGGAGTCGACACACTTCACCCCAAAACACTTTAGGTAAATTCTTGTCTTTCCACATACTTCTCACCATATTCATGATGGTTCGAATCTTCCTTTCTGAAGTTCCATTTTGTTGTGGAGTGTAGGGTGGCACCACCTCATGCACAATCCCTTCTTTTTCACATAATTTGTCGAAGTCTTATGACACATACTCTCCACCACCATCAGTTCTCAAAACTTTGAGCTTTCGACCACTTTGTTTTTCGACCATAGATTTAAACTTGGCAAATATCTTGATCACTTCACTTTTCTTCTTGATCAGGTAAGTCTACAGTTTTCGACTAAAATCATCTATGAATATAACAAAATATTTGTTACCTCCATTCGAATCCACTTGGATTGGTCCACATACATCAGAGTATATGATTTCAAGAATAGTCTTCGACTTGCTTCCTGCATCCTTGTTGAAGTTGTTCTTGTGTTGTTTCGCCTCCACACATTCCTCACACACCTTGTTTGGAATGTCGATTTCTGGCAACCCTGAAATCATATTTCTTCTTTTCAAATCTTTGATGTCTTTGAAGTTTATATGGCCTAGTCGATAATTCCATATCCACTCATATTTTCTAGCTGCAGTCAAAAGGCACTTGTGCTCCATCGCATTTAGTTTGTTCTTGAAGGTTCTATTCTGAGACATTGAAGCCTTCAAGATTAAATTCCCTCTTGCATCGACGAATCTTATAATTTTGTCTTTGATCAAAACTTTATAGTTCTTCTTCACCAACTTCCCTATACTGAGAAAATTGCTCTTCATGCGTGGTATATATAACATATTGGAAATTACTGACCTCTTGTCATCTTTCCTCATAATCATAACATCACCAATACCTTCAGCTTCTAGGGCATTGTCATTCGTGAATTTCACTATATTCTTCATCGAGGGTTTTATGTTGAGAAACCAATCTTTCCTTTCATACATGTGTGATGAGCATCCTAAATCCAAGTACCGTTGGTCCTTGAAATTATTCATATTTTGTTATGACCATCAGCATCATCTTTTCTTCTTCATACTTTTCAAACTTTGCATCACTTTCTTGATTCTTTCGCTTTTCTAGACAATCACTATAATAGTGACCATACTTCTAGAAATTGAAACACTGAATGTCACTCTTGTTAGACTTTAGACCACCACCTCTTCCTGTATTAGCAACACCACCTCTTTGGTTGCCTTGGTATAGTCTTCTCTGATTCGACACATTTTCTTCGTGTTGGTTTCCTCTACCAGTCGAATTTTTGTAGCCTCCTCTACCTTTTATTGTCGAACCATTTTCCTTTGCCTTTCTTATATTTTGTTGATTGAGCCTAGAAAGCCACGTCACTCTTCGAATTTCTTGCAACTCTTTCAACCATTCTTTGTTCATGAGATTCAAGTGTCCCTTTAAGCTCTTCCTTTGACAAAGTTGACATATCCTTCGAATCGTCTATGTCAACTACCACACGGTCGAACTTCGGAGCCAAAGATCTCAAGATATTTGAAACAATGGCTTTTGTTGTAAGCGTGTCTCCACAAACCTTGATTTGATTCACTAGTTTTGTAACTCTAGTGAAGAAATCATATATGCTCTCAATATCTTCCATCTGAAGCAATTCATACGTTCTTTTGTGAATTTGTAACCTCGCATCTTTCACCTTTTCTGCACCTCCAAAAGATTTCTTAAAAATCTTCCAGGCTTCTTTTGCAGATTCTACATTACTAACCTTTTCGAAATTATCTGAACTCGGACATTGATCAATTATAAAGAGAGATTTATAATTATTCTTCTTTGATTCTTTGTATTTTGCCTCTTCTTCTTCTTCTTCTTCTTCTTTTTCTTCTGAAGTGTCTTCTTCAAGTGATTCTAATCCATATTTCACAAGATCCCAAAGATATTGACAACAAAACACAACCTTCACCTGTTTGCACTAATTCTCGTAGTTATCAGCTTTAAGAATTGGAAAACTTGCTGGAAAATGCGTGTTTGAATGATTCATATCCACCATGATTCTCTTCTTCTTCTTCCTATGATTGCTCAACTGAAGCTCTTGATACCAGATGCTGAAAATCCACCAAAGCCTATGATAAATTTCTATCAATCTTGATGAACAAGATTATTATCACCACACAATGACAATGAAAATAAAGAAAATCTTGTGTATCAAAAAGAGGCAAACCAATGGTCACCTTAAGTTTTAACTTCATCACTTATTCACTGGGTTTTAAGGTTGTTAGCTAGTTGTAACATTCATATCCTGACTAAAAACTCTTACTCTAAGACATGTTAAACTCATCATCAAAACAATTATAAGGTGTTTGATGTCCTTTCTATCAAAGTTGGCCCTCTTTAACAAAGTTTATAAACGCAAGGGTCGATACCACACAAATACATCCTTAAGAAAAACATTTATAATGTTGATTTTACCCTCACAAATTTCAACTATGATCTTAGTGAAATAATCATTATCCATTCTACTACGTCCATAAGAAAAGGTTCAACTAGACTATAAATAAAGATTTATAGCCCAACATCACATCATAAAAAAAATTGAGATATAAGTGTTATAGACAGGGTTAAGCTTAACCCAATAAAATAATTGATCACACCTAAGAAAAATATCATCCCACCATAGACCATGTTATGGACACGGCCTAGAGGCACCCTTAAGCAGATCTACCTATCCAATTTGAACTACATGATAAAGATTGCATCATGTTCGATTAGAATTTTTTTCTTAAAAATCCTAATTTGCATTTTATAAATATTAACTTATGACTCAAATTCAAATATACAATTTTTAAACTCTAATTGCTCTCAAACGACTTCTATTAAATTGATATTCATAGTGTTTGCATGTATCTCCGACAACCACCATCCTTATTACTCAATCATCTCTCATTTCGTAGATCTATGTCCAATTGAGATCAAAAATTGATATCTTAACATTGTGTCATTATAATTCACCTTGATTAGTCAAATATGCAATTCCATTTTATTTTGTTTGTTTATTTATTTATTATTCCAACGACAAAAATCAAATAAGACCAATATCTTATACTCCCTTGAGATGATATGTAACTTCATAATTTTATTATCTTTGATCTCTTAGACGGTTTGATTTTTGTGTTGACCTTTCTTTCTCTTGTTTATTTCGGACATACCAAATTTTAATGTTGTTTATGTATTGTACATTACATTCTATAGGAATAGTATAACAAAACGTCATAATTTTCATTTAGTACTATATGATAAATCATATTTTTTAATTCCTTTTTAATTAATTGCGTCAGATCCACCAAGAACGCTCTTTGTGAGAGAGTTCCTTCCTCTTTCTTTGGATTGACGTACGTGATGGGACTCATTCGAACCTCAAAACATAGCACCAAATCTTCTCTTCTTCCATCCAAATCAAAATCATCATTTTCAACTCCCACTTATTCTGCTTCTCAAACCATGAAGTGAGTACAACTTGTGTTTTTCTCTTTCTTTCTATGACTTTATTGATCTACAATTTTTGCTTTTCAATTCTAATTCTATTGGAGACATGTTTAGTTGAATTTTTGTAAACCTTGTATAGTTGTATGGTTAGAAGAAGAACTGTTGATTTCTATCTCAAACTGATTCTGTCATGTTATATAGTTAGAAGACATGTTATGTTATATCCTATGTCTTTATATATCTTCTGTTTTTAGTTACTTAGTTACTCCTAGTACTAACACCTCTGGAAAAAAAGTCTATGCATATGTGTGAAACCACACTAGTGATTACGTTTAGTTTATTAATTTTTTCAAATTACTACTGGTCATTTTGATCATATACAATGTATTGCAGTTATAGTCTTACCATGATGTCTTATTTTCCAAATTTAACAGAACAACAATTAAGATTTATGGCGTGTCTCTTTCGCTCATTCTCATCAACCTAGCTGCTATTATGGAGCGCGCCGATGAGAATCTTCTTCCGTCTGTTTACAAAGAAGTTAGTGAAGCATTCAATGCAGGACCGTCTGATTTAGGTTACCTCACGTTCATACGGAACTTTGTGCAAGGACTGTCGTCGCCTCTAGCTGGTATACTTGTTATTAACTATGATAGACCAACAATTCTTGCTATGGGAACTTTCTGTTGGGCTTTATCAACTGCTGCTGTGAGTGCTTGTCACGATTTTATGCAGGTTGCGTTTTGGAGAGCGATAAACGGATTTGGTTTGGCAATTGTGATTCCTGCGTTGCAGTCTTTCATTGCGGATAGCTATAGGGAAGGAGTGAGAGGAGCTGGATTTGGATTACTAAGCCTTATTGGTAATGTAGGGGGAATTGGAGGTGGTGTTATGGCTACTGTCATGGCTGGTCAGACGTTTTGGGGAGTACAGGGATGGAGATGTGCCTTTGTTTTGATGGCGAGTTTGAGCGCGTTGATTGGAATCCTTGTTTTACTATACGTGGATGATCCGAAAAAAAGATTTTCCCCGACTCAAGATGCTAGTGATAGTTCAGAAAGGTAAGGAAGAACGAACATCTATAACATACTTCACAGCGATGTAAAATTCAGGAAAACTGATTCCTCGTAAAATAGAGTGTTTCCTATATTTACGTAGTCAGCAGCTCAACGCCATACCATCTGATAAAGGTTCATATTTTGTGCAAGATTTTAGGGTGTTGAGCTGATGACTAAGTGAATATAGCATATCGCTTACTATTTGACTGCAGGAGATTCGTTTCCCTATATCTCTTTGGTTTGTAATTGTTGGCAAATCAACTTTGTTGTCAGCAGGGGTGATTCTATCTATAATGGCAATGCTAGTGTGACTTCAGTTTGGAGGCACTCTTGGGCAGCCACTAAATCTGTGATCAAAGTTCAAACATTTCAAATAATTGTCTTACAAGGCATTATTGGGTCACTACCATGGACTGCCATGGTGTTCTTCACAATGTGGTTCGAACTAATTGGTGAGCATGGAGCCTTTTTCTGTACATTTACATGCTAATACAACTTTGCAAGATTGTATTCTGAGATCACTAACATAGCGGTCTTTAAGGGCGTGCAAGGCAGGCTACGGCACATAACCCAAAATTTGACACAATTAAATCGTAGTTAAATAAGGTCTCATAAAATATTTACCACAATTAAATCGTGACAAAATAGTACACCTCTATTTGATTTGCCTAAGTTAAACGGTGGTTAACCTATAAAGGGTCTCTAAAAACTTAAGACAACACTGATCACTAGAAGCATCTTTATGCAAGAACTTAATTTTTGGAAATGATTCTAAAATGCGTTGTAGTATGAATCCTTTAATATCTACTTGCTTGACACAATGAATTGGCTCACTATGCAGGTTTTGATAATAACAGTTCAGCAACCCTCCTCAGTCTTTTTGCTATTGGATGTGCACTAGGATCCTTCATAGGAGGATCAATAGCTGATCGATTGACACAAACCTATCCATATTCAGGTCGAATCATGTGCGCGCAATTTAGCGCCTTTATGGGCATTCCATTCTCATGGTTTCTTCTTAGGGTGATACCTCAATCAGTAACTAGTTTTCTTACATTTTCAATCACTCTCTTTTTTATGGGACTAACTATAAGCTGGAATGGTACGGCTGCAAACGCACCTATGTTTGCCGAGGTTGTTCCAGTCAAACACAGAACCATGATTTATGCATTTGATAGAGCTTTTGAAGGCTCATTCTCTTCGGTTGCAGCTCCTTTGGTTGGCATTCTTGCAGAGAAAATGTTTGGCTACAATTCGAAATCTGTTGATCCCATCAAAGGATCTTCACCTGAGGCTCTTGCCTTGTCAAAGGGACTTCTTTCAATGATGGCAGTTCCTTTTGGATTGTGTTGCTTGTGCTACACGCCATTGTATTTTATATTTAAGAAGGACCGCGAAAATGCTAGAATGCAAGTCATCAAAGAAGAGGAGATGATGTGAGATGCTCGCTAACTAGGAATGGTAGTTTGCATGAATGGAATTCTTAACTCAGTCTGCTTGTGACATGGCTGGCACTCATATGGAATTCAAATCTTCGGAGGTAAACATGAAACTTTTGCAACAATTCTTCAAAGTGGTCTAGTTTCTTTTATTCGAAGAGTCTATGATTTCCATCAAGAGTTGAGGCTGATAACTGAACTTGTTCTGAGCAACTATTTCACGTGGGAAATTACACTCACCTCCCAAATTTTAGATTGACATTTGACCATGACTTCCTTTATTTTTGCATTTGAGTGACACACTCTTCTCTTGTACATACTCTCATGTTATGCTCAGCTTAATATTTTATGGCATTAGTTGCTTTGCTGAATTGACTTGTATCAAGATAAGAGTACCCAAATTTGACCAGTTGAACGTTGCCTATCATTTGGTTTCTACATGACCATGTACATATCACTAATTATTCGGAATTTTGTCTGTTACGTTTTAAAGCAAGTTGATTTGATTATATATTTTTGGACTGGCTTGAGAAGCAAACATCCATGACACTTGGTGGACTGTGGACTAGTATGCATTGGCCGATCTGATGAGAAGCAAACGCCCGTGACGCTTGGTGGACTGGGGACTAATATGCATTGGCCGATCGGATGAGAAACAAATGTCTACGTTTTATCAAACTTGACACTGACGTTTGGTGGACTGTAGACTAGTATGCATTGGCCGATCTGATGAGAAGCAAATGTCTACGTTTTATCAAATTTGATACTTTGTGGACTGTGGACTGACATGCATAGATCGATATAATAAAAAGCAACGTATATGCCTTATCTGCTTGGTCGGGTTGTGAACTGACATGTGTGACCATGCCACATAGAATAGGTTTAACTCAGTTGAGCGTTTGACGTGTTTAGCTAAACTTGGACATTCATATTATTTTGAGCTTTCACTTTGATGAGCTACACCAAATCCTCTTCAAAATAAAGGTCCTCCTAAGATTTTTCTATGGCATGACACATGTCTGAGACAAACGAGTGACTTAAAATATGTACTCAACTTCAGACTCCTATACGGAAAAGTGATGTATGTTGTGCATGCTCAACTCCCATACTTGTGCACGAGTTGTGTGAATCTTAAAAATAAATGCTAATGGGGTTGAACATCACATAAAAGAGTCAATTAGGTCAAGACAAAGAATTCATAAAAGACAAGACTTATGAGAAAAAGGAGTAGGTCAGAAGGATTCAGAAAAACAATGTATTTTATCATTAACAATTTTCTAAGAGGACTCTTGGTATTCCATTTAAGGGTGAACAATTTTGTTACCCAAATTACATGTTATGGTGATACTTCAGCTGTTGTCATATAAAAGGATTGAAAATATCCTAATAAACTCAAATACATATTAAATTGGTTTTTGTCATTAAAAAAAGGATTGAGAATACGGAACCAAGCTGGTGGATAAAGTGCTCAACCTAGCTCATTAGATTAAAGTATTATTATTGGAGGCAAATTAGCTATTCAGTCAATTTTTTGGAGAAAATTTCAGTGACTTTCATGGAATATAACTTTGATAACTTTAGTTGATGAATTTTTCTCTCACGTCAATATAATATTTATTAATCTTGTATTCATTCATTTTATTAACTAAACTCACAAAAGTTATGGAAATAGTAAAGTTACTGAAGTGATTCTCCAATTTTTTTTATTTTCGAAATTGACTCTCTAAACTGTCATTAAGAACATGATTCACAGTATAACTGCTACTACTAATCACTCCCTACAACCTCCTTTAAAGAGGTTTTGCAGCTTGTTCATCTCCTTGGATGGAAAACTTGTGTAAAGCATATCTCTATAATATAGAGACACAACACATTTGAGAGAGAAAAAAGATTTACAAATTGTTACATGTGGAGAATACGGAGGAGACAGGCGATAACTTCAGTGATGAATGTTAGTCAGTTGGTCAAACAGTTCCTCAGCCGCATCAAATAGCTTTTTGTCGATTGTGCACAGTTCCTCAACCGCATCAAGTAGCTTTTAGTCGATGGAGTGTAGTAATATACACAGTACAACAACTACGTTTTATAGCTTTTTATCAATTGGGCACGTTAATATACATAGTACAACAACCACTAAGTTTTATAGCTTTTGGTCGATTGTGCACCGTAACAGATCAACAACTAATACACGGGTCAACGACTAAGTTTTATCCCTCAAGGTGAAGTCGGACACATTGAACCATAAAACCAAATTTGCAATTTAAACCCATTAATTGGTACATTTGAATATGTGGTTTAAGCCCACAGTAATATACACTTAAAGTGATAAATTTGAATTTTTGATTAACCCCACAGTATAATCTCAACGAACATTCATTGTTTAGCATCATGCTAAATATTCTAGTTTTAAAGAACCTCAAATAGTAAAGTTTTAAATGAAGCTTGAAGTTCGTTAACTATTCTCCAAATTCAAAATACCGAATTTTCAAGGATGTGTAGACAACTAGAAATAAACACCCAACAGAATACACGTTTTGAATGGTCACACCTCGTGTGACAGAATCAGAAACCAAGTCATCAGTTTATCTAGCTCTTATATATTCCTGCTTAATGGTTCTCAAAAAGATTGAAAAGCATTTATTGGCATTCTGGGAGTATGCTTTTGATTTGGGAATGAAAGGAATATGCAAAAATCAAAATAAAATGCGAAGAGATAACAAATATTGACCGCTGAACCCATTTTTGATTGTTTAGAATAGTATGTCAACATTGCACAAAAGATACATTCAACATTCCTCCACTTGTTTGGCTTTTAGATGCGTTTGGTGGTCTAAGGAACCTGATGCTCCCCCCACCAAGAAAAATAACATACTGACAAAAGTAAAATGCAATTTTCATAAATAAATTTTACAAACCAGGGGCCATCAAAGCATTGATAATATATTTCAATCAAGGGCTTGGAAGCTGTCGAGCATGGTTTACATACAGCGTGGGAAAAAGGTTTGACCCACATACCCACCAGACATTGCCCTCCTCACATTAGACTCAAATATCTTTGGGTTATCTCTCAACACAGCAGCTGCATCATGATTCAGGGGATCCTCGTAATTTGGCTCCTGCATACAATTACAAGATTAGATTTTATAAGTTTCAAAGATCAAAACCACGATATTAAAAAAGCAGAGCCATACCGTAAAGAGATGATACAAGCCATAGATAACAGTGTTTATATTCAAAACAGGTTTCCAGTCCTCTCTTAAGATGTTCAGACACACATTCCCTTCCAAATCAATATTTGGATGGTAGACCTGCAAATACAATATGCAGGTACACATAAATTCACTACATTGAAACAGAATATAAAAGCAAGGCCTCAGAAACCCAAAAGCATGATCTATAGTTAAATATATAATGAAAAGTCCATCCTACCTTTGTCTTGCACTTCACCTTGGGTGCTTCATGTGGATAGATGGGAGACACATGGAAGGAAAACAAAAAAGTGCCCCCCCTGTAACAAAAATTAAAGAAACATAAGATGAAGACAGCATAGGGACAGCAGTGCCTTAAACAAGAGTGAATTATAACGTTAAGCTACAAGTAGAAAATAACGAACAATTGCGGAAACTTCCTTACAGATAATATCCATCATCAGGTCGAATTAAAACTTCAAAGTTCATGAGGTCATCTTTGCCATTGGGGAATTGCATGGTACAAGACTTTGGTAGATTCAGCTCACTGATATCTGAAAGTTATAACATCCACAGTGAAAAAACTTGTATAACAAAATAAATTGGTGGTAACTATAGTTCAAACAAAGCATTAAAAAAGACAAAAAAAAGGTCTCAGCAGTAACTAAAAACACTCCAGTTTGAGAAATCATATCATAGAATTGTCAATAGCGGGCGCTCCAGCCGCTATCGCGGCGCACCGTAGCGGTGCGGTATCCCCCCACGCGATATGCAGGGTGCGGTGGCGGAGATGGAAAAGCGGCCACTTCAACCGCGTTACCGGGTCGCGGGAAGTTCCCGGGCAGAGCGGTTGGACTGGTTTTCTGCTTCTTTTTTTTTTTGAAATTTTTCTTCTGTACTTTAATGACTGAATAGAAAGAGAAGAAGATATTAAAAAGGAAGAAGTGGAAGAGGTAGAGGGAAGAGTCTGAGTACTTTAATGACTATGAATAGAAAGAGAAGAAAGGAAAGAGACTGAGTTTATTTTTTATTGATAAATAAAAAGTTGAAAAAGTAAAAAACAATCAATTTATCTAGAATTGGAACAAACAGCTAGGTACAGCTGTAAAAAGTTAATAGGCATTTAATAGAAAGAATATTGCCATACAGATGTAAAAAAAGCTTAATATAGAAGGAATCCAGCGTAACAGCTCCCATGCAGCTGTAAATTATAACATTAATAATAAAAATAATAACATATATCACTTTAATTTATTATTATTTTATTAATTAGATTTTTATAAAACTTTTATGGAGTTGTTTAATTTGTATTATATATTGTCTAAAAATAGTCAATTTTAAAAAGTCAACAAAAGTTATCCCGCTATCCGCTATCCGGGATCCCACTATTCCCACTTTTAGGGGTCGGCCGCTCCACTCCGCTATCCAGAATTAATAACTCGGGATTAATAACTCTGTATCATAGTCCAACTAGTGAACTTAAAACTCTTTACAGTCCACATGTCTGCGGGAAAGTATGTAGATATTAATATATCACGCTGGCTAATGGTCAGTCAGATGAATTTCTAGTTCATCCAGAAAAGAAGTTCTCTTCTATGAAAAATCACTAATAAAATGCAGAGAAAGTTATTGAGAATAAATTCCATGTTCTCAAGTTAAAATTCATTAATACTAGGACGGGAAAATATACAACCACCCAAGAAACAAAAGTAATAACATGGTTTCCCCAGCCCCAGAGTTAACTCACTTAACAACTAAGTTATACTCCAAGCAAAAGACCATTCACAGTTCAAGGCCACCAGAATAGAAGAAA